TCCCCCCTCATTACGTGCAAGCCCGAGGGTTCTGCGTTGCGTGGCGATCTTGTTTCACTGCCTGCGGCCCCGTTCATTGTTGGCTCCCGCCCGTATCAGTGTTGGGTTTAAACTTCTGCTGCGGTTTTCCTGTTTGGCTGGGCGCAGGTGGCCCATTAATTAGCGACGCTTTCAGTTCCTCTTTCCCTCAGCTAGCTAATGCCAGTGGAGTTCGTGCGGTGTGGCTGCAGGCTTCCCTGAAGCGCTGTGCCGGCCGAACCTGACACTACCATCACTCGGCCAGCCAATGGTCCCGCTCTGTGGTGCAGATGACCAACCACGTCCTAAGCCATGTGCATCGCTGACCGGTCCAGAGAGGTGCCGCTGCACCGCTGCTCCCAAGGTAACTCCCGCTGCCGCTCCACCATGAGCACAGCGAGCACGACGTAGTTCAAGATACACACAGTGCTACATGGCATGGCCCAGAACTGAGGGGTGCCACTGCTGCTGCTGCTGCTGCCGCTGCCAGCATCTGCAGCTGTTGGAGAGCAGGAGGGACCCACCACCTCCGTCGCTGCCACCATCTCTGCCGTTACCCGGCCAGCCGTGGGGTGGCTACCCTGTTTCTGCGCCCCCACAGGGCCGCTCCATGCCCTTGAGCCTGAGGGTGTCCCCTGCCACCACTGCTGCTCCTGTTGGCCTATCAATACCACTGCTGCTGCTGCCACTACCACTGCCTCTCCACCTGCGCCTTGGCAAGCTGGGCGGCCAGAAAACTCTTCCTCCTCCAACAGCCACGGCCCTCCTCCCACCTCCCTGTCCCCCGTCCATGCTACCCGAACAGAAGAAGAATGAGAGGGGGACTGAATGGTGTGGCCGGCCGCGCTCGCAGGCCACCCATGGGAGGGACCAGCTCGGCTGGCTCCATGCCGGACACAATCGTCTCCCAGGGCTGCTATAGCAGATCTGGCCGGTCCAGGAGCCCCGTCACCGCCTCCTACACAGCCCGCACCATGCAGCACCATGCTGCAAAGTGCTTGACTG